CGTTTCCACACTCAGATATATCCGGTGGCAGTCATTCTCCTGCCAGCCGATATCTCGATTAGTGAGGTCCCTCTTGACTTTCCTCTTTATTATTAAGTCGTCTTTGACTGACTGTTTGACAAAGCGCGTGATGACAGGCGGCGGTCGTGGGTCATCTTTTCTGCTTCTGTGGCGATTTACTATGTCCAAGTCATCTGCACTGAGCCTGATGCCCAAACTTGTCCAATGCTGGTCACCAAAGCAGTGGGTGTTTCACCAGTTCGTTCCAGTATCCCTCAGATCCCCAGTGATCTGAATAACAAGCCCTGCTAGATTTGAGGGCTTTATTTTTCTGAATAATTTCTTCGAAATGACTGGCTTGACTTTCGAGGTGTTTCTCAATTTTCGACAATTTTTCATTAAGCTCAAAACTGGGCTCTCCATATTTATCGAGGGTTGTTTTTTATGTATTCATTGACACTCGAGTCTAAGCGATTTACTGCTGCCATTATTTCTGAGGCAGACGGCTCAGTGTTGGGTTTTTTGGTCTGGTCACAATTAGGGCATACCCAGGTTTTTTTGTGTGCTTTTAAGGCTTCAATTTCTTTTTCAGTTAGATTGAGACACCTACCGTGAAAAATAATTTTGCATTTTACACAACAAAGATTGTTTTTGTCTTCGCGTGCAATAGTACTATTGCAAATATTACACTGCACCATATTTAATTAAACTAGTTCAATTAAGATATAAATAATTACCGGGAGAGAGTTGTTTTGATGAAAGCAGTAAACAGTGTTGTCTAATGCCGTAAGGATTAGGAGACTGACATTTACACTCTCGTAGCTTCTAGAACTCAATTGGATTCAAGACACTTTCTTTAAGTAGATAAAAGTGAATATATTACACTAATCACAGTGAATACTAATACTGTTGAAAGAAAAATACACTCAACTATAATACGCAAAACTATAATGAACTGTGCTGAAGATTAAAAAAAAAAAAAAAAAACAGAACTGATGATATAAGAGAGTAATAGCGATGTGTACAGGTAGCTGTCTCTTGCCAGACATTTACTGCTGAAAACCGACAAATGAAGGAAATTCTTTTAACTAATTGAATTTATTTCAATTCTAAATACAATAAACCTCTTAAGAATACTATTTTTAATATTGTGACAATTAATTATGTGTTGTTCATCAACAGAACTCATTTTTTTTTTAATGCAAAATCCTTTTAAATCACCTCTTACTGAGTTGATTTGGCTCATACAGATTTCGAAAATGACTCAATCATTTAAGTTTTTACTTTATTTTATTAATTTTCCTTTGTAATTCAGTGGTTATGAAAGAAAAATGAGGAAATTAAGTTTGAAATTTGGTTATAGAAGATAATTTCTATAATTTGAGGCTACTAGCTAATACAATTATTATTTTGAAGTCAGTGGTTTCATTTGATTTGTTTTTCCTTTATAGTGATTGCTACTTTCAATATTAAAAATATGAGTTGATGATCCTTAAATCATAGTTGAATTGAGTATAGTTGATGATCCTTAAATGATATTTGAACCATCTAGAATAAACATTAACAGTTTTAGAATTTCAATTATAAGAAAAACTAAGGAAAATAATATTTCATTTCAAAACTTTTGCATCACAACAATCTATTTCTTAAAAATCAATCAAGATGAGTATCATATCACTTATTCTGGCATAAAAGAAAAAAAAATTAGTTACTAGAGTTCTCAATAAAGCTAAAGATCATCAACTATACTCATATTTTAATGATGAAATAAACAATCACTATAAAGAAAAACTAAATTTCAATTTTAACTTTTAAGATAAAAATTGTGTTGGCTAATAGAAACTATCTTCATATAACCAAGTTTCAAACTTGATTTCCATCTTTTTCTTTCATTGCCACTGAGTTAAAAAGGAAAATTAATAAAATAAAGTAAAGAATTAAAGTATACTCATGATTTTAAGTCTATGAAGATGAAACTAAACTTATCACTTTAAACACTAATATTTATAACTATTAAATAAAAACTACCTGTTAATAAAATGAATCTATTACTAAAACAACACAATTAAGCTTTTAAACAAAATATCACTAATAATATAAGAAAATTTAACAGTTTTGAGATGCCTATAGAGCAAGCAGGTAGATGACCCAAGATGGCCAACCAATCCAAAAGTGACACCATATGGCCGTACTGTATTATTAAGCCACTGTAATATATACTCATGTCTTGAGTGGAGAATCTGACCACAACCAGAACTCCAATTATGCTACCCAATCAAGGTTTTCATTTGATGAAAATTATATTATTTTTGTACGAATATGAAATTCAATCTCATATCTGACGAGAGCCTACTGAAACAGTGTTTCAATAGGCTATTCTATCTTGATTCAGTGAGAGTGGAGAGATTAGAAATAGAATTAGGTGAGATTAGAAATCATTCATCATTTCTATCGGTTGTATTTCACATGTTTGTCTGCGAATATATTAACCCTTTAACGACAGTGGAATCATGTATTCTCTTTCTCTTTGAGCCTTTTTATCAATTGTATAAAAATTAGATAAAAAAACAAAATAAAAAAGTTTAGAACGCTACCTTAAATAACTAACTCCCCGGCGCTACAGGCCAGCATGACCCTTGGCCTCCTGAGTTATTTTCCTCTACTTATCTCTGTCCTCTGCTACTCTCTTCCAATTGTGAACTCCAAACTTCCTCGTATCTCTCTTCACTTTATCCTTCTATCTGCTTCTTGGTCTTCCTCTTTTCCTCTTCCCACTGAAGTACGCTTCCAATATTTTCCTCTGTACCCGTTCATTCTCCATTCTGAGATATTTATAAGATTATATTTATTGTATTTCCAGTTTAAGCAAAAATTGCTTTAATCTACAAAATTGATGTTTTCATAGTTGACGATACCTTTTTGAAGTTTAATTAATTTTTTAACATTTTCGATCCTTCAAATTATTATTCAAAGTTTCTTTCTTTTAATGATTCTAAAAAGTCATTGACAACAGAATTATATTCGATATCAATCAGTGGGGAATTTTGTGATGATATGAAGTTTAGGTTGACATTAATTCCATATAATTCATAATCTGTAACAGAATGCATTAAAACTTATTAAAAATTACTATAAACCATGGTCTGATTTCATATAGGGAACCAGAAAACTTAAATTTTGTAATTTTTAAGTCAACCACATTCTATGTTTAATAAAAAGCAATAACTAAAAAAATGTTTAATTTAGGTTACAACAAATTACTTCATAGCAAACTAGATTAAATTAAAATTAAATACAAGTAAATCTTGTCTATTTTAAAACTTTTTAAAGTGGACTTTGAAGTAGTTATACTACGGTAAGTTCGGTTCTTCATCAAATCAGAGAATCTTCACGATTTTTTTTATAATCTCCCAACTGGACTTAAGATACCACATGTTCAGAAAAACTTCCTTGTTTTATGAACTTTAAGTCTATATTAATTATGTTGTGATTTGTTACAGAGTAAGTTGGGATTCATCCCTTGTTGAGTTAAAAGATGAAAAAATATTGGGGTCAATCCCTAATTCTTTATCTATAAATCTTTCTAGGCATATATATATATATATATATATATATATATATATATATATATATATATATATAGCTCAGAGACTGGAGTTATGTGGCTTACAAAAACAGATGGAGTACCACAGTTTTTATTGTCTACCGTTGATTTAATTAATAGGATTTTGGTTATTTTAGTGGTCTTAATGATTTGTTAGCTGTAAGCTTTAAGCTATAGCTCCGTTATAAGTGCACTTCAAAAATTTTATAATTGCTCAACACTGCCAGAAAATAATTTCTATTCAAAGTAGAGAGGTAAGTAAAAGTTGTGCACCATGTTACAACCATAATTGTATTTATAGAAGTGAATGCAAGAGTAAATATATGTATTTAGGCTAGTCACTTTGAGATAAAATAAATATTTTAATAAATACAGAAGAATATTTATCAATCATTTTATGTAAATATAACAATATTCTTTATCACATATTCAAATACAATTACTGGGGAATAATAGTTAAGTGCTGTAGCCCTCTTATCAACACCTATCGAGCAGGTTAATGACCAGAATGACAAAAATTTCTCTGTATCAAACTCTGATCTGGGCAAATCAGAGTTTGATACAGAGAATTTACTTATGGAGCAGAGACATGGACAATAGCAAAAGATACCTTTCAGAAGCTGACCACATTTGAGCGAAAGATCGTCCGAAAGATATTTGGACTGGTTTTAGTTGGTGAAGAGTGGAGACGAAGAACAAATGAAGAGGTCTACAACCTCTTTGGCGAGCCTGATGTTGTTAGTCTTATCAAACGATATCGTCTAAGGTTGGGTATGTGGTCAGAATGGAGGACCAGGAAACTCTTATAAGATTACTGACAGAGATAGTCCATGGTCGGAGGAGAGTTGGCTGCCCCCTACTTCGATGGATTGACAGTTTGGCTGAGGATGCAAGGAGTTTGGGAGTCCACAACTGGATGACAGCAGCGCAGGACAGAAACTTCTGGAGGTTGCTGGTTGAGGAGGCCTGGATGCATCAACATGTCGTAGCACCAAACTAAGTTACACATAGCAGTAAATCCTTTTGTTAATCCCCACCCAGCATTCTGATTAACTCTGTACTACTTTAGCATTATTATATTTTCTTATAGCGGGACTTCCACTTATTTCTCTTGTTTGCATTGTTGCCTTTTCATGCTTCCTATCCCTTGATATATTTTCTACAGCCTTACTCCATTTCCTCTCTCCCCCTCTCCACTACCAGACCCTTCAAATGTTTTTTTGATTTTTGTTTTCAGTACAATCATGTCTCTCTGTATATACTATAACTGGAATGGCTAATTATATATCATATTGTGGCCTAATATATTTGAAATATTGGATTTAAATATCATTTATGTTTTTATCAATTATTCAAAAGCTTAGATATGAAAGTATATATTGTCTTATTTTTTTAGCCATTGGCTGTGCCTGGACGTGTATTAGTTGGAGAAGGTGTCCTAACTAAAATGTGTAGGAAAAAACCAAAAGCAAGACAGTTCTTTCTATTTAATGATATCCTAGTTTATGGAAATATTATCATAAATAAAAAAAAGGTAATCTTATTTTTATGTTATTTTATTTAAAGTAGTTACAAACATATTATTTTTGATTAAAGATGTTTTTTTTTCTGGTTTTAATACAGTTCAAAAGGATTATTAAATAAAATCTAACATATAATATATTTTCGTCCATTGTAGTAGTCAGTAGTAGTAAGGATTGCTAAATGGTGGTGGTAGGTTCATTGTTGAGGAACCTGATGGATTTTTTTGCTATAAGGTTCATTCAACCTGTATGGATAGTTGAGATTGAAAACTTGTGCACAGATTAAAAATACCTGTATAAATTTGTTGGATAATATATTTATATGATTTAGCAACATTCACCTCCGTATACTAACACACACAAAAGAAATATAAGAGATTTTCAGATTTTGGCTTATTGTAAATATAGGAAAAATGTTATTATGGCATGATTTAACTCTAAACTTAGTGGTTTCAAATTTTGAAAATATTTAATGAAAATGTTAATCTATCTCCCTCTCCCTCCTCTCTCACTCTCTCCATGATAAAAATTCAATTTCAAAATTGAATAAAAATTCAAAGTTCCTACAATTACTCTCACCCGATAAGCTCTCTCTTATTTATTTTTTTCTCTTTCTTTTCTCTCTTTCTACTTATAATCTCTTTTTTTTTTTTTTTTAATACATACTAATATCTGTATTACATATATTTACTAACATTAAAATTAAAATTAAATTGTAAAAAACATTTTAAGTAAGGTACAATGTATATTATAATGAAAATTATAAAATTCTAGATGTATTAGTATTTTTGTCTGTAAGAAAGGTCCAAAGGCAAATAAAAATCAATCAATATCCCTCCCTCCTTGGTCTTCTTCTCTTTCTGGAAATCCCTCCATAATTATCTTGGAAATTTTATTCTTCTTGATTCTCTGCACATGATCCAACCATAACCTTTCTTTCATAGTACATAAACTGGAATAACTATATTTCCCAAATCACACAAAAATTCATCTTAATCAGTACTTTACCGACCACTGAGAGAAAACACATGGGTCTGTATGCTTTATCTTTGCTTCTTCCTTTGTATAACAGTCTCAGATCAGCAGCGTTTCACTTGCTTGGGAAGTATCCTTTATCCAAGCATTGGTTAAATATGCAGAGCAATTCCTAGAGGGCAACTTTTCTTTAATATGGCGCCTTGGGGTTCTACCAATCCTCTGTTTTTCCACCGTCATTCGCACATCCCAAATGCCCCAAGGCTAGCACAGGTCTATTCCCGGTGGGTTACTCTGTTGTTCTGATCATTCTGTCCCCCTCAGTATACTGGAATACGTCATGAATCACGGGGATAAGTTTAATTGAAATACATTCCAGTCGTCTCTGTTTGGGTGGATGCCTGGTTGTTCCCAACTGTGATTGCTGCCATCATCTGTGATGGCTTGGGTTTTTCCAGAGCCACCCTGTAGGGTATACCCCCAGGGATTCTTTGCTGATTCCTCTAAAATGAAGTCATCCTAGGATCTCCTTTTCTGGTTGCGCAATCCGTTTCGATAGGTTCGGTACTTATGCCTACTCTCTTCTCTAATTATAATCTTCATATCTTTGTTCCTGGTCCCTTGGTATCTTCGTCTTGCTCTATGGTACTCTCTTATTAGCGTGGAGCTATAGCGTCCACCATGGTACCGAGCATGCCCTTGCTTTCCTGCGCCGAAGGGAGCTCTCAGTCTCTACTGTAATAATCTCCATTATTTCATCCACCTTTTGGTCTATGCCCATCATCTCCTCACTGTCATAATTAGCCTCCATCCACTATCGATCTGCCAGGTTCTCTTCAAGTTTTCCTGAAAATGTCAAGTCCGCTGTTCTTGTTGCAAGTCTGTCTTTTATCTCATATTAACTCACTTGCTTTTCTCTTACTATGCTAAAGCTAATATTCATGTGGTGGGAATTCATTTTCGAACCAAGGGTCCAATCAGCAACACATCTTGCCATGGTTGACGTCTATCCAGTTGCTCCCTCTGGCCCCCATGAAAGTGGACCCAGATATTTCATTCACTACTATGAGCTGCCATCTCGCAACGCTATCCTCAACCATCACGCCTCTAGCATCCATACGTCTCGAACCCCAGACCATACTCCACATCCTTGTGTCGGAGCATACCACACCATCCGTATATTGGAACACAGCTGCTTCAAGACCTGCTAAATTTCCGGTTATGTCCTATTTTGTTGGGAAGTATGACGAGACAAGTGCGAAGGCAACGTTTTCCCATCTCATGTAACATGCTGCTTAGTCCGCCATCACGTGCCCGTTAAGTTCCATTATGTCCAGTGTCAGGTTCATTATAACAACTGCCATTCTCGGCCTTCTCTCTCCACCACCATTGGCAACAATCCTCGCCACAACTCCAAATCCTGTCATTTGGTTCTTGTGGCATCAAGGTTCTTGTTAGGCGGGTTCTCAGCTCATCTGCAACCACTCGCATCTTGGCCATATTCTTGTAAGTCTATCCATAATTCTTTTTGCCAGTTTTCCCATTTCCTTGAAGTGCTCTTGGCAGTCCCTGTTACCCGCACAGTGCCTCCTCTTATCAATTTTGACTTTTGCCGTGGTGCATTTTTTGCAGTTTGGAGGCAGCGCCTTTATATGGGCTCTCCTTGACTATATGGCTGTCTGTTCCACATCATCTGCACACTAGCGTGTTCCTACACTGTGCTTTGATGTGGCCATGCTCTTGGTATTTGACGTATAAGGAGGGGTGCAGGTAGTCCCTGACATATAGATTCCACCAACTGCCAGTGATGTAGTCCAGTACTTCAGTTCTCATCTCCGGATTGACCTCAATTACCTATGTTTTCTTTAGTTCTCCTCTTTCAGGATTAGAGAAGAGAACCTTTAGTTGCTCTCTACTTTTGAGGCTTCATCTGCAGCCTTAGCCCCTGTCCTTACTTTAGGAACTCAGGGGATTTCTATTCTTAGTTTTCTAGTCCTTGTCAGCTTCGCTTTCAGTCCTCTCTCCCCTCAAGCCCCTCCACTTCCTGAGCTTCTTGGCCTGCTCTCGCTTCTATATTTTTGCCAATACATTTTTTCCATGTATTTCAACTTCTATTCCAGCACTTAGACTCTTCTCTTCTGTAGGTAACCATCCCATATGCCTCTAGGGTTCCAGTTTTCGCTCTTTCCTCTGATAGTGATGTAAGGTCCTTTTGCAGAATCTGGGATTTCTCCAGCTAATTTTGTAACCATGTAGTCGATTACTTCCTTGAGTAGTGTCTCATGGGTTGGCTTCTCCTTTTTAGCACTCGCCTTCTTGTTTCTACTCCTTTGCTGTTCTGGAGTATTACTCTTCCTCTTGCTTCTCTTTTTCCTTCGTCCTCTCTTCTTATTTTTCCTTTTCCCTACTACGGTAGGAAACTCTTCTTCTTCCTCATCCTCACTTAAGAATATCGCCACTTCTCAACAGATTGCCATTCCCTTTTCCCTAAGGAGCATAGGTACTGGCATCAATTACTCTTCATCTTCCTGAAGGTTTCAGGCAGGGGTTCTTCAAAGCGGACCCTCCTCCCCTCTGTTCCGGTGGGAACTGTTTCTGGAATGGCTGTCTGGCTTGGTAATTTGAGATCCAGTCCCTTTCTTCCACACCTATTGCCAACTGCTCAGCTTTCCCTAGCTCTCTTAATGCCCTGTTCTTTTCGCCAGGATTTCTAAATATTTCCTCTTCTCTTCTTCTAATTCTCGTTCAGCCATGGCTAGCATTGTAGTCAGTATTCCCTTCGCTAAATGCCATCAAGAAACTTATCGTCTTGCAAAACAGCTCGTGCGACCTCCTGTGGTGATGAAGCATGAACGCCTTCATTCCTCCCTTCTTCTCTCCAATTTCTAAGAAGGTATTTGGCCTGTTCTATCTTGGCCTTGAGTGTTTGGTTACTCAACACTAATTCACCTGTGATTGTCCATAACAGCCCTGCTATTATATTGAAATTAAACAAGGGTAATGAATAAAATATAAGCAAAATGAACTTAAAACAGTACTTTTTTGGAAAGGAAAATAAACCAATACTATCTACTATCTGTAATAATTATTCCTTACTATCTGACATAATTATTTTTTGTATAAGGTAATGAACTTTGTGATGAAATGAAGAAAACGGTGTTTCTGTCTCTAGGCAATTGCCCATTAGAACATTAGTCTACCTTAAAATGCTAACTCAGGTCAACTAGTTAAAAAATTGTGTTTCATTGCATTTAATATGGCATTGTCATGGTAATTTTTGTGGATTGCCAGCTAAACCTTTGAATTCCATTCATTGGTCAAATGAAGGAGAAGGCTGACAGCTTCACAGTTAATTTTTTTTAAAAACTATATTATGTCTGAAGCGAAATCATTGTATCCATTCTCATGAAATACTAGTTTAAGATACTAAAGCAGAGGTCTCCAAACTACAGCCCGCAAACACCTCCAATCCGGCCCACAAAAGTTTCTTTGATTACATGGTAAAATTTTAAAAACTAATAAAAAAATAAGAAATTTAGGAAATTACTCTGACAAGAGGTTTCTAAAATATTTAATGCATGGTGTTTTTCTCTTAGAACGTTCATTTCACAGCTGAAGTATCATTTATGAAGCAAGATATTTTTTTTTTTCATCACAAGTCTTGAGCCCACGAAACTTAGATAGAGATCTCAATGCGGCTTGCGGGATCTAGTGGAGGTCTCAATGTGACCCGTGGGCCAAAAGGTATGGAGACCCCTGTTCTAGAGTATTGTAAATTAATTTTAAATATTTGTTAGTCTTTTCGAGTAAAATCTTAATTAACCTAGGGGAATATTGAGAAGAATCGATTTTGTTGTGAGTAGATAATCGTTTTTTTAATTTTTATTTAAATGATTCAGCATGCCCTTGAATAGATTCGCAATTTTTTTCAAATTGTAAGATTTACATTTCATTTTTGAACCAAGCTACTATTAGACTCCCTCTCCAGGCAGCATATATAGACATTTTCTTCCAAGCAAAATCTTTTTACTCTTCGTTATTCTTATTAAACTACTAAACAGAAATATGAATTTAACACTAAGAGTGAGAATGAAATTGACCTTATAAATATGATGCTTTCGTAGAGAAGGAATAAAATAAAGATTTCCTAGATATGTGAGATATAAACACCAAGATTTTTGGAGTTCTAAGAGCCAACTGTTTTTCTAAAAACTCCAAATTATTAGTAATTACTACTTTTATTTTACACATTAATTATTAATAATTTTTATTTTATTTTCTTGTTGAATAATAATACAACCTGCAATTTTCGGAGGTATTTAGGCAAAAAGTATTAAGGCTAAAAGTTCTCATTCATACAATATATACAAATAATAGAGAAATAACTATAAATATTGAAAAAGTAAATAAATAATACTAATAAAAAAAAAACAAGTAAATGGAAAAAAAATCTACACACATATTCACACCTATGTATATTATATATATTCGCCCAGGAATCTCTGAGCCAGACTTTGTCGTCCACATGTGGAAGGCAAAGGACTCCAGGAGATCCCAGTGCCACTTTTCCAGCTGCGTCACTGGTATTAAAAGCCAGTGAAGACTGAAATAGGGCACTAGAGCCACAGACGCTCTGGACTTAATTGGAGAAGCTGGCCATTTCCATGACTCCATTTACATTAAATAATTTATATTTATTAAATTTACATTAAATAATGTATATTTATTAAATTTATATTAAATATTTTACATTAATTTAAAGTTTTTTTTTTTCAAAGGAGAATATTAAAAATAAAAATAGTTTCATGGTTCCTGACTTAGAATTGAGTTTCTGGTTTTATAATGAAAGTTCAATTCTCAGTTTTTGTTTAATATTTTAATAATTATATAAATTTGTTTGTGAAATTCGCCAATGAGAAAATTGAATGAATAAAATGGAAATTGCAATATGCCGAAGTTTATTTATTGAAATATATTTTAATAAAGTTAAATAAAAGAAAAGAAAATATTGTTCTTTGATTTTATTATTTATTTTCACGTGATATAAGTGATCCATAGGCTTTATTCAACTTGCTCAACTTCAACTCGTTCTTTCAAAACATTCCAGTTAATAGTTTGTAGCAATAATTACTTTTTAAATTGAAATAACAAAGAAAGAGTATTCAAATATTAGTATCTCGCCAACCCAATATGGCCACCACATCGGTATTATTACACCACTGTACTCTAGGCACCTATGCCAGTGCCGCTTTTCCGGCGATTAAGTGTGTTTTCAAAGTAACTGCTTCAAATATTTTAAAATTAATCAGTGTTTTAGTAAGAGAAATGTATTCTCTAAATGTTTAATTTCAGGGCTTTTTTCGTTATTGTTGGCCGTTTATTTACAAACGACGCTTGATTTTCAACTTTAGTTTGAGTGGCTTGATAAGATTGAATTTACTGATGTTTTTTATTGCCAAGGCCTATTATCTTTTAGTATTTTATTGTTCTCTAACTATCCAGCTTTAACAAATAAACAATTATGCGATGAAATTAAACTAAATGCTGAATCTCAGTGACAGAAAAACTTACTCAAATCAAAGACGTCAATAAGCCATGTTTGGACGTCATTTTGGAACAGTTCGGTCACTTTTTTGTTTGGGAACATTGCCTTTTTGTTTAATATATAGTTACAAGCAATTCAATTATATGCAATTTATTGGGATGTGGCGGGAGGATACTTGGTAGGGGGTCTGGCCCATTGTGTAACATACTTTTCAAAGCATCTCCCAAATACCGTCTTATCGTTACAGTCAATGGCTCATTATCTTCAAGGAAAACCTCCAAATTCAATGGATGAGGTTAAAATGGAGTTACAGGATCCTACTGTTCAAAACTGAAAGAGCACTTTTGTGAAGAAATCGAAATGGGTAAATCTTGAAAGCTTGATAGTTTGCTTGCGGTTGGGTTTGGAAAAAATTGTTATGAAAATAAATTTTAGATAATTTTATGCTGTTTAAGACCAAGTATAACCAATTTCTTTCAATGTCGCTCTAGAAAGGAGATATTTAGCATAAACCAAAAACAGTTGGAAATTTCAATGGTTTTTGGATCACTGCAGTGAAGCCACAAGGCTTTCAAGGGTGGTAACTTGGATTTTTTATATTTACTACATACTTAAAAATATAAAAAAGAAATTTGAATTACCCGATCTTTTGCAAGGTAACATGTCTAATTTGACTCTGCTACAATATAAGCTTTATAAATTAACTACTACCATTAATTGACATGATATTAAAATGACAGACAATACTAACAGACTGTAGCACTGGACACACTATTTTTTTTGTCTAATGGGCTAAGTTATGTGGCTATTACATTGATGAACTTTCCTTTGTGAATTGTGGATTGAATCTTGGAACTTGCACCTGTGAAAATTCCAAACCTTCAAATGCGTTTTTCCATTAATATGATTATTGCACTTAACACGTTAAGATCCTTCTAAAAGTAGCTTAATGGCTGTTCTGTTACATAATGGTAACAACTATGCATCTTTACTTGTGGATCATTCTGTGAATAAGAATGAAAGCTATGAAAACCTCCAAATAGTTTAAAATAAAATAGACTATTCCTCTCATGATTGGATGAAATATAGCGACTTAAAAGTGATATGTTTTTCTTCTTGGCCAGAAAAGTGGCTATACAACATTTCCTTGTTATGTTTGAATAGGGATAGTAGAGCCAGAGATCAACATTGGTGCAAAAGACACTTACTTGCTATGTAGCTCTACAGGCATCCTGCTGTAGTCCATTCTAACCTCGTGGCCTAACCATTATTCCATATGCCTAATTTTAACGAAATCAACTATGGTGGCGCTATTATATAATTCATATAGCCCCTCATTTTTTCTATACCCCCACACACCCTCTTTACAAACAGCTCCATAAATTCTTCTCAATATTTTTCTTTCAAAAATATTCAGCATACTAATTGTACTAGTACAAAGGGTCCATGTCTCCGCTGCGTAAGTCAATTGTGAAGTCTTACTAAAATCTTATATAGTCTTACCTTTGTTTCTCATGACGGAAGCGATGATCGAAAAAATTTTAGGTTGGCATAGTATGCCCGGTTTCCAGCCATGATCCTCTTGTACACCTCAGCAGCAATTTTATTTTCTGAATTCACTTCCACCCCCAGGAATGTGAATTTTTTGACACACTCAAAGGTGAGACCACATATTTCAATGTTCTGTGGACCAGCCTCATTTTCAGCCCTGACATACATGAATTTTGTCTTATTTTGATTGATTTCCAGCCCAAGGTGCAAAAGAGATTTCAAGTTTGAATTACAAATGACATTAAATGAGAAAGAAGCTTTGGGATCATTCAAGCAAGTTGTAACAAAGTTTCTGGGAAACAAAAAAGACCTGGAATATGTGTCAATTGTTGCCAACATGCTAGACAATTACAAAAAGTTAGGTTGCTTAGTGAGCCTCAAAATTCAATGTTTGAACAGTCACCATGACTACTTTCTAGACAGTTCGGGTGATGTAAGTGAGGAGGAAGGAGACATTGTTCCAATAAGACATCAAAGTAATGGAATAATGCTATATATATATATATTGTAATATAAATATTACATAGTGATTTTAAATAGTGGCGCGAAAGCAGTGACATCACGATCTACTGTCAAGGAATGGAAAAAGAGGCGGAGCAAGACAGATGGAAGGGGAAGCAAGGGCCATATGTTAAGGGAGAAAGTGACTAAGAAGCAAGGGAAGAAGATTAAGACGCACCGAGAGTGACAGGTGACCAACAAGTAGCCAGTGTCTAGACGAAGACAGGAAAATAGAAGATCAAAAGAAGACATTGTAGAAGTTTAATACAGTAAAGCCTGCAGCATCAATACAGAGGAAGATTCACTGGGGAACAGGGTGAGTGCAAAATAAATAGTGACAATTAGAAAGCGCCAAGAGTAGAACTGACAAAACTGAATGGAAATTCATAAATATTTCATAGAAAATTAATGTATGCTTTTAGATTATATAATTGAGAAATATGTGTTTATTGTCTCAACCCAACCTGAGAAATAATTTGTAGTCTTTAAAATAATTATTGTGTGAAATACAAATAATTTGGTTCAGAAACTGTTTACTTTTCAACGGAATTGTAACCTAACAATATATGACTTTATCATTGTTTTCTCTAGGCCACCAAATATGCATTCAGCAGCTAAAAATACATGAGAATCAGCTATTAAAGTTTTAAAAATTTGTTTGTTGGCTTGTGCAATTATTTATATAAAATCAGTGGCTTATCTAACTTTTTACATTTCATTGAACAAGTTAGCTGATGTTCACAGCTTCATATCTCAGTAGCTATTTTAAATTTTTCAATATGTTGGGGCTTGCAAAGGAAGGTAAAAATCTTGAGTTATTCATGAGATGGGCCACACATACGATATGAAAATCAAAATTAATCCTCCTTTTGGAATCAAAGGAACGCCCAAGGGGTCGCCCTTGGATTATGAGCTCTCTCTCTTCTGGGCTAATTAATCATGGAAAAGGTTTTTGTATTAATTTCATTATAAATATTGATTTATATTAGTCCTTTTATACATAAATTATGATAAATCTTTTAATACATTCTTTCTTTGTTTAGTATAACAAGCAGCACGTTATTCCATTGGAAGAAATTAAACTAGAGTCATTAGAAGATGAAGGGCGTAAGTTGTTTTTCCTGTTATTTACTAAAATAAATGAGTAAAAACTCAACAATAGATATAAGGTTATGATTGGAAAAATCCAGCCACACAGCAATGTGTCTCTAAAATGAAAGTAAACAAAATCACCCGTCAAGGTTTCACCAAATATAGTGCAGTGCGCGCATCACACGTCTTTCAACTGACCACCCTCTTCTTAGCAGAAATAAGTATTTTCAGATAAAGGGGAAGTGAAAGTAAAAATTATAAACGCTATATTGATTTATCTTTCATTGTTGGTATTTTTATTTGTTTAAGTACCCTTATATATAAATGTATACAAATTTTAATATTTATATCGCTGTAATCTATACAATTAAATATTAAATAATACCATCGATAGCATTTATGAAAACCGCATATGTATATGTACATAATATTGTTGGAGTCTGTATTATATTAAGCTAATGTTATGTATGGAAGCCTGTCCCAATCTTTCGGGCGAGCTTGAGCGCACTCGTATTCCTTTGGTTCCTCCATTATAACTATTCTCTGTTACGATCTCTTATTTATCCTTTAGTTAACTACCAAATTATTTCATATTTTATATTTAACTATTTTTTTATGTCAGAGATTAATGTGAAATGAAAAAAAAAAAAAAATTAGCCATTTACGCCCTGTTAGAGAACATCAATGAGACTAAAACCTACATTATATTAAAAATGCTTAATTTTATATTGATATAATGAATTTAACCAAAATCATTTGAGAAAATTGTCATTTATGTTAAATTGATGTTATAAAGTGCAACTTCCGGTTATCCGATTTTAAGGAAAAAGTTGCTATAACATCTCAGGCATATAAAAACCTTAAATATGCAATGGTTTGTGTGCGTGCGTTTGTCTGTGTGTATGTATGTGACAGGTCAAGCTAAAAAACGAAAAGTGATATGAAAGGGAAATTGCATATTTAAGGTTTGTATAAACCCTGAGATGTTAGAGCGACTTTTTCAACAAATCTTCTCACCAGAAGTGGTACTTTATATCATCGATGAAACACATTTTTACTATTTGCTCTTAAACGGTTCCAACGATTTTCATTAAATTCATTATATTAGTGTAAAATTAAGTAGTTTTTAATATTATTTAGGTTTTATTGTCATTGATGTTCTCTAACAGGCTTAAATGGCTTATTTTCAATATTAGCTACCTCTTAAGTACCGTTAATTTTTTTTATTTGAAACAACTAACCAATTCACATTGATCTCTAATATTAAAAATAGTTAAATATAATATATGAAAAAATTTTATAGTAAACTAAAGGAGAAATAAGAGAGATCGTAACTTTTTATTTTTTTTTTTATTTTTTTCTTATTATCTTTTTTCTTCTTCTTATTTGTAATTTTTGTGGCTTATTTGTGTATTTTGGTCACTGATTACATGTTTTTTCATCTGTTCCTTTTTTTATTATAATCTTTGTCGAATGTGTTTCCTTCCCTTTTTTTCAGCATGTGTTTATATGTCATTTAATATTAGTTTGCTTTTTCTCTTCTGATGATGCCCGAATAGACAAAATGTTGACAGTTTATTTTATTCTTTACCTGAATTTCAGAGACACAAGGCTATGTGGTTAGATTTTTCCAATTATAAAAATTAACCCAACATCTCACATTTACATTATAAATGTTTTAGTTATTCCAGTTTTATTTTTTACTTAAAAGTGACTAACAAAATTGATTATTAATTGATTTCTAAAATCATAAGTGTATATTTTATAATATACCGGAATGAGTGAAATTCCTCTATAGTTATTACAATCCATCCTCGGACTCTTTTTGTGAATCGGAATAAGAATAGATTCTTTCCATTCTTCGAGTAATTTCTCATTCTCCCAGATTTTTTTGACCAACAAATGTATTTTAGAAACTCCAGCTTCTCCGCATTCCTTAATTAGTTCATTAGGAATATTATCGGTTCCCGCTGCTTTATAAGATTTTAATTTTCTGATAGCTACTTCAACTTCCTCTTTACTTGGTTCTTCTATTAATGGTTCAGCTCTCAGGTACTCGGAGGGAGGACACAGATCATAATTTCGCATATTTACATTATAAATGTTTTAGTTATTCCAGTTTTATTTTTTACTTAAAAGTGACTAACAAAATTGATTATTAATTGATTTCTAAAATCATAAGTGTATATTTTATAATATACCGGAATGAGTGAAATTCCTCTATAGTTATTACAATCCATCCTCGGACTCTTTTTGTGAATCGGAATAAGAATAGATTCTTTCCATTCTTCGAGTAATTTCTCATTCTCCCAGATTTTTTTGACCAACAAATGTATTTTAGAAACTCCAGCTTCTCCGCATTCCTTAATTAGTTCATTAGGAATATTATCGGTTCCCGCTGCTTTATAAGATTTTAATTTTCTGATAGCTACTTCAACTTCCTCTTTACTTGGTTCTTCTATTAATGGTTCAGCTCTCAGGTACTCGGAGGGAGGACACAGATCATAATTTCGCATATTTAAAATACTGTCAAAGTGGTCCTTGAACTTATTTAATATGTCAACCAGATCGGTCAGAATATTGTTTTCTTCATCCCTAATTTCAGATGTGATGGGCCCTAAACATTTACGTGATCTGATTATATCTTTGTACATGTCTCTTAAGTTATTTTCAATTCTATTACCTTCTATTTCAGTTATTTTATTTTTAAGATACATCCATAAAGAATTGTAGGTGAGATAATGATTTTATAGATTCTAATTTTTAAGTTCCGGGACAAGAGGCGCAAGCTAAGTAGTTTTGGCACAGAAAAATAACAAGCATTTCCTGCCTTCAGCCTAACCTTTAATCTCCTCTACAATTTCGTTTTTTCTAGTTACCATAGACCCTAGATACCTAAACTTCTCTACGTTGTACGTCTCTCAAAGCGAATAGCAATCTATTCCTAATTAGAAACCCGGTATCTGAACAATGATTCCTGCTTCCTCCATACCAAATAGTGTACTCTTTAGTGTACTCCTTCCGTCATCGAGTCCTCTCCTGGCCAGCGAACGTCTTGCAGAGCCTTGATATCCAAATTGTATCCATTAAGCTCATTCAGGACCGATTTTAACCCACCTACTGAATTCAAAGTCCTTACATTCCTACCAATACTTAAATCCCTATTTTTCAACTTGCGCCATGAAACCCGGATACCTGAACGGGGAACTATTTTACCTCCGGATAATGAGCGTTTTACCTCCATGACTATTTGTGGTGTATGATGAACTAAAGATATGTGAATAGGGTGTTCCATCCTATGTTACACCCTCCAGCAAGTCTGGTGGTCCCCTCCCTCCAGCAAGTCTCCCTCCCTCTCATTGTTGGTCAGCGAGTCCATCAGACTTAGCCGGAAGGAACTTCCAAGAAGTTTCCACTGACCATCCCCAAATCTGCCACCTGTGCGATGCTCCCCATATGCTGTAATGAGCCCGTGCGAAGTATTAGCATTACATGCTGTGATTATTTCAGCAAACATTTTTTTTTTTGAAAATGTATCAATAATAGTTACAATATACTTCCATTCGAAATGTAAATTATCTATCATCAATTCTTCGAATGATCTCATAGGTGTTGTTGTTACTTGAAATTTTGATATGATGGGTTTCCTATCATATTTAGTCTTTCTGCAGATTTTACATAAATTAATAAACTGATTAATTCCTTCCTTCATCCTTGGAAAATAATGAGTCCTTTTCATTTTTTCATAAGTTTCCAAAACTCCTCTATGGAATGATTTACCTGTATGATAATTATTAATTAATTATGTTTGTTCTTTGGTTTCTACATTTAAGACTTTGGTTTTATACCTTTTAAATTTGACATTAGGGAATTTCTCCATAATTATTTAATACATCTTTTGGAATATTCCTTAATAATCACTTCTAACCATTTCTACATTGGGTTCACAATAGACTCCATAAATTGAGTTTGGATGTGATTTTTGGCTTCCCTCTTAATTTTTATTTTACTTTACTTAGAAGGGCTGCTTGATTTTCTAGTGCTAAGGTATTATTGGCCTTGCAAACATAATGAAAACCATCTCTAACCTCAGATAAAAATTCATAAACATCTTTAGAGTCACCATAAAAATCTTGAATATGCTCATAATCCATAGCAGTCATTTTGTAAGTAACCATTTCTGGTTGTTGTTGTTGTTGTGTTGGTTCAAATTATAGTTCTGATTCAGACATTTTTGGTTTATATATTGTTAATTTACTTTGTCTTAATATAAATGTTTTACAAAAAATTAAACAATAAAAAAATTATTACATATTTATACCTCAAGTATTCTTTGAGTCCTTACCAAGTATCTCCAATCCAATGTGAGTTCTTGAACCTGTTTGAAGTGTTGAACACACCTTGAAACAGCCAGTTCCAGATTCTGTTGTCCAATGACTATTTCTTCAAATTTTCTTGACCTGTCACTTAGTGCTGTTACTTTAAACTAATTTCTTAGCTCTCCTATCTTCAAGTTAACACAGGTCCCTACATTTGGGCGCCAATTAAATCTTTTATACACGCTGAGATTTAAAAAAAAAGTTTATTTGGCAAAAATGTTTCCAATGAACAAAATATATATTATAATATTGTTAACCAACAACTACACTATCTATGGTATCTAACTATCTACTATGATTGACAATGTCTGATTATTCCTAGGCGGGTAAGAGAGAGGTATTTATACAGAGTCGATGGTTTCCAGCACCCGGACTTTGAGTGCACTTAGCCCAGTAACCTTGTACATAGTAAGTTGCATTGAATGGTGGGGGTTTCGACTTAGGTGTTCTCCCAAATCACTTTTGAATATTCCCAAAAATGCTGTATTTTCGCACTTTTTTATTCAGTTTATCCACGAAGCATCACGTTTTTGACAAAACTATTTAATACATTTTTAAACTAAATTAAATAAGTTACAATTTAAGACCAAAACAGGCTCGGTAAATCAAATAATTTACGAGACACAAATTTTCAAA